ACACCTTAGTCCTAAACTCAACCACCCCACCTAAAATCAGCCTCCAAAGTCATGGGGGCCAGGCTTTGGTCCCCACAAGGAGTCTCCGGTCCCCATGAGGCTGCAATTTCCTGAAAAGCGTCCCCACCAAGTAGCAAAAACAAGGGCACACATACACACACACACACACACACACATACACGGCTGACTGGGCTTTTGTTTTCAAGGTTACACAAAAAGGTCTTCGTGATGTTCACAACACATTTGCATCAAACCAACAGCTGCCAATTAACACGCAGCCTGTTGGTTAATACACACACGTCACTGCCAGTTAGGGAGTCAAGAGATGTCTCTCTCCCTGCAGCAGCACTGCAACACACAAACACTCACACCAGACCATTACAAAATGCACTGAAGAAGAGAGGGACGAATTTAGGTGCAATAGAAACGTCGCGTAACTGCTAATGCTGAGAAAGGCAGGGGAGAACCAGGTGAGCGAGGGCAACTGGAGGAACGTCCCGTCCCAGGAACAAAGCTTTGRTTTACTCAAGCAGTTACAAGGGTAGAAATTAAGCCTGACACACTGAACAGATAAACAAAACACCTCAGCACTTTCTAGCAGAGCTATACACACAAATTGACTCATTAAGTGAAAAATTTCTGCCAATAGAGTAAAACATTTTTACTTGGTAAGATTCTTAAAATAAGAAAAAATTGAATCAAATCAAGTATTTCAAGAATCTTACCACGTAAAATTTTCTTACTCCATTGGCAGAAATATTTCACTTAATTTGAGTCAAATTTTCAGACTAACAAGACAAATAATCTTACATATTCTGAAAATAAGATTATTCTTACACAATCAGTTCTTGTTTAGTAAATCAGTCTCAAAACAAGATCAAAAAGACTTTTTGGCTGATATAAGATTTTTAAATTTGGTTAGGTGGACATTTTTTGCAGTGAGGATTCACAGTGAACATTTTTTACAAAGTAAGAAGCTTAATGTTCACATATTTCATAATAGTGCTGGACAATAATTTGATTTTGATGTATATGAGGGTAGAAMATATGGTAACAAAAAAACAGCCCCTTGTTCTACGCTTTGCTTCGTGGTCAGGGACCTCAGCTATTGAGAAAAGATTTCTTGCTGGAGGCGTGGTCTCTGTTGAAGTTTAAAATGATTGGATCAAATTTTAGCTAATCGCTAACATTTGGCCATGAGGTATGCAGTGCGCCAGCTCGGCTGTGAAGGAGGCTAAGCTAAGAAGCTAACCGGAAATTGCGTGCGCTGTAAACAACCATCCCCTACTGGGAAGAGACCAAAGTGTCTGTAAATGATGCTGCAGCCTTTGTGAAACAAGTTTTATTAAATTTGGAATCCTTCTCAACATGGCTCCACTTCCTCAGCTGCCATTGCTAAATATACAAACAGACTAAAACGGCGCAGAAAATTGGCGTCGTCGTTCACAACTCCTCTTCCTGTTCGCCGATTGGCCGGGCTAAAATTCTACCGGAGAAATCCTGRGAGAAATCCCAGACAGAGCAGAGAAGGGAACCTAGGAAGGCAAGAACCAGGCTATAAATTTAGTGGCAGAGCTGTGATTCGGGTTTTGAATGTTGGATAAACTTCAGCTTTCCGTTGGCAGTAAATTAGCCAGGGAGGGGTGTCAACAAGCAGTGGAAACTCATCAAATCTCTTACACCATCTATTTCCACTCTATAGATCTTTCCGAGTGTGTGAAAATGAAGCGCCCTAAAAGTTTAGGCCCTCTACCTAAAACATCCATGACCATACTGGCAAAAACTGGGAAAACCAATCCCAGTTACTCAATCCTCTCCCTCATTTTCGACGTCCGTCATGGTGCCTCCATGTGATTGGATGGCTGGGATCTTGTTCACGAATGGGGGAAGAACGGAGCGGGAGATCGACAGGCGGATTGGCGCAGCGTCTGCTGTAAAGCGGGCGCTGTACCGGTCCGTCG